CGTTTCCGACGGACCGGTCCCCGGGCCCCGACCGTCGGTGAGGGCGCAGCGCGGCTGCTCCGCTGGAAGCGTGGTGCGGGCCCGCGGAGAGGTCTCGGGAGGTCTGGGGCTGGCGAGGAGGAAGGGGGTTTGGATGTGAGTGGGAAGAAATTGGTACCAGCCCCTCTCTTGAGACACCCCCTGGGGGCCTGGATTACTCCCCTTTCTCTTCTGAGAGTAGCCGTGAATTCCAAAGGTCTCAGCCCCCAACCCGCACACCCCCTCTTCCTGGCTCCACTGCCCAGATCCACTTCATCCCACCTCCCTCTCCCTTTTCTGCCCACAGCCGTCCTGAAACCCCAGGAGTCCCTAGCTCAGCCTTTTCCCACCCAAGACGACTTAAAGTCAGAAGGTAAGTGTCCAGCGGAGGTGGGAGGCTGACCCAGGGCAAGGAGGAGGGAGTTAAGTGAGGAGGGTCCCTTTCCCACAAGCCAGGCCCAAACCCAGTTGGCGCCCCTAAACTCCCCTCTGTTCTCTCTTGGAGTTCCTTGTGGTCTTTCTACCTTTCATCCCACAAAGCCCCTACCTGGCTCTGAGCTGGCCCACCTCACAGGTGGGTTAGAACATCCCAGAAAAAGTGTATGTGGAAGTCCTTGTCAGGCTGAGAAGTGCTGTGCATATGGAAAGCACTAAACATTTCCTGGGCTAGGACTCTCTCCTCATCCAGGAGTGTCTTGCTTAGAAAACTTTCTGAGGCTTTCCTGGCATTTCCCACATTTGAAGACAGGGACAGTGGTTCCTCAGTGGAAGTACCTGGACCAGAGGGCTTGGAGGGAGGGGCAGGGGAGTGGTCAATGTGGAGCATCTCTGCCCACAGGAAAAACGGTGGAGGAGAACTATGAGACAAAAGCCCACCTTTGCTGGCTCTGTTATAAGGATCAGATGGATTCTATCGAAAAGGACTGGTGTGACTGGGCCCTGATTAGCAGGTAGGGGCAGTGCTGGAGGGCGGCTTGGGCCGGGGTGGGGTGGGGTGGGATGTGTGCTCCTTGTGGGCCTGGAGTGAGTATGGGACACTCCTTTCTCTGGGCCCAACCCCTCCCTCACTCTAGTCCTCTCCTGCCCCCAGGCCTTATAGCGCCCTTCAAGAGTGCTTGGAACAGGAAGCAGAGGAGTTCGGCCTGGGCTTCCCCAATCCCTGGGCAGAACGGATCATCTTTGAGACTCACCAGATCCACTTTGCCAACTGCTCCCTGGTGCAGCCTACCTTCTCAGACCCCCCAGAGGATGTGCTCCTGGCCATGATCATAACCCCCATCTGCCTCATCCCCTTCCTCGTCACCCTTGTGGTGTGGAGGAGTAAAGACAGTGAAGCCCAGGCCTAGGGTGGTGTGAGCTCTTCTGCAGCCATCTCATACCTTTCCTCTGCCTCCACCAGCTCTCTCCTCCCCTCCCTACTTCCTTCTCTCATCCCTACCGCGGATCTCTAGATTGGTGGAAATAGAAGCTGGGTGAGGTCACGGCACACATTCTGTAATCTTCAAAATAAAGTTTGTTTGTTTTTTTTAATACACTGTTTCCCTCCCCCTCCCAGTGGGGCCTGAGTCCTTCCCAGAGTCTCTGCCATTCCCACAGGCCCTCATCTCTGGGCAGCAGAGCTGGAAGAATCTGGATAGGCCCATTGTTTTACTTGCCCTCCATGACTCCCTCCCCCACCTGAAGGCCACACCCCTACACTCTTTCCTCCCAAGGTGGGGGCCTTTCCTGCCCCTATCCAAACCCAGCTCCAGGAAATGTGCAGGAAGAGACTCCCTTCCGGTCTGGACAGCAGCTGGGGAGTTGAGGGGGGAGGGACAAGGCAAGACTCTGCTGTGACTCCTGCAAGAAGCTGGAGGGGGACACCCAGGAGCCCTGCATTTTCCCTTTCTTCAAGCCTCAGTTTATTTGCAGGGCCTGGGACTAGGAACCCTGATCTGACCAACAGGAGTCCATCCCCAAGGACCACAGGATTAAGGGCAAAAGTAGTGGTGCTTCCACTACTAGACTCACCACAGGACTCCCCCTCCAGGTCCTGGGCCCTCATCCTACATTGTCCTGGACCCTGGGTGGGTGTGGCCTACACTCTGGCCGCACACTGCCCCCTGGTGTCCACTAAAGCCAACAATCAGAAGATGGACATCACCTGAAGAAGCTCAAAACTGAGGCTATTGGACCTTGTGGTCAGAGACCAGTGATCCCCATAGCAACCACTAGTTCTTCACTGGACCCTTCTATTAGCTTCCTGAGCCATACTCATACTCCCTTAAGACACTTTCTTTCTAGGGACATACCTAGTGGCACACCGTTTCTGTACACGGACACACTGTGTATATGTCCCTGGACAGTAAGGCCCAATTCTCAACAGGGAAGCTTCACCTCCAGTTCTCCCTGGGACAAACCTGCTAGGCCATCAAGAAAAATCTAGAAAATAACTTTGTTCTTCATAAAGACACCTGTGGCACCTGGCACCTCTTTAGGAACATCCTTCTTTCCTGTTTGAAATATCTACCTCCCTGAGTACATGCATATCCATTTCCTGGGACATTACTGTCTGTTCCACAGATATTTATCTATATGCTTCCTTGAACATATCTACTCATTCTCTGAGACATACTTCTTTCCTCAGGACACATCTGTCTCTCTGGAGACAAAACTCTTCCCTAGGACATTTTGAGTTTTCAGCAGAGAGAAATCTTTGCTCTATTTCTATGAATGCATCCATTGTGTGGAAGGATATATCTATCCTCTTCTTGGCCCATATTTGCCTTCATATATTTCACTAATATACATCAAAGGCATGCTGATGTAAGACACTGTGTATAGCATATTGTATTGGGAAGATAAGTGAGATAGGGCTTGGTTTCTGCCCTCAGTGGCTTTCATCTGGCAGGGGAGCTGACATGTGCACAAATAAACAAAAACCATGGAGTGTGTGATGAGAGTCATGCAAGGGATACAAACCAAATGTTACCTGACTGCAAAGGAAAGAGAGGTGATGTCTAACTGAGGTGTGATCACAAGAGGTGAGACCACAGGGGTATGATTGTGAAGTTGGCACCTGACTAGGCCTTAGATGGAGTATATTCCTCTAGGAGAGAAAGTAGGAAGGGAGCTGAATTAGGAAATAATTGCAATAGTCCATGCTTGAGAAAACGAGCGAATGGACCAAAGGAGTGGTGAATGGGGAAATATAAAATAATTAAAAAGTAGGAAAGGTGTTTAAAAACAGGGGGGTGTTTATAGGATTTGGATATGAAAGTGAAGGATTGGAGAGGTTAGGGCTGACGCCAGTTTTGAACCTGGGTTATGAGGACAATGGTGGAAGTAATAGTTCCAAAAGGCCATTTTAGCTGGCCTGGAGAAAAGGAAATATAATATGAGATAACAACAGAACAAGCTGATATGTACTGCTTAGAGTTAGAAATGGGAGTGGTGGTGGTGGCAGAAAAAGGTTGGAGGTAGAAATATAGGCTTAGGAGTCCCCTGCACAGAAATGCCATGTGAAGCCATAAGAGCAATGAGCATTCTCAGGGAGAAAGTATATTGAAGAAGAATGAGGTTTTTAGGGAACACCCACATTTAAACAACGAGGGAAAAAAGACACAGGGAAAGATCAGAGAGACAGTAGTAGAATGAGGATAAAACAGTGCGAAGGAAGCAAAGGAGATGGTGCTCTTTGAATGGCTCATTCATTCGTTCAACAAATATTTGTTGGGCCTTTCTGTGGATCAGGAACTGTACGTAATGAAGGATGGACTTTAGTGGGGGAGATGTTAGAAATCAGACAGGAAATTGAGACGGTGGTAGAGTCAAGGAAACTGCATATTTTCAAGTAGGGATTACCCCAGCATGTTTGTAGACTAGGGGAGAGGAGCCAGGGGAAAGGGAAAGAGGGAAACTGATACAGAGACGTCCTGGAGGAAGTTGGAAAGGAGAGGCAAGAAGATATTCCAAATGGTTGGTTTTGTAAAGGGATAGTGATACTTCTTCCTTTGAGTCCAAAAGGAAGGAGTAAAAATGAAGAGGGTTTTTTTCTTTTATTTTCTTTCTTTTTTTTTTTTTAAGAGGAATTTTTGAGAGATGAATTGCGTGTGGTGACAGACAGGAAAGATTAAGAGGTTCACATGCATGGCCTCAATCTCATAAAAATAGGAAGGGCATTCTGCAGAGATGGGGGGATGGGGACAGATGGAATGGCTTGATGAGTGTGGAAAATTTGGAGAGTTACCTTGAGGGATGTGACAGGAAGTAAAAGGTAAAACATCACTGAGCTGCACTGAGAGCCCAGCAGTGAGGTTAGCCAGGGAATCTGGGACTCAGTGAGCAGACCCTGGTGATTTTTTGTTTTTGCTGCTTCTGCTGCTGTTATTGCAGTAATACTCCCCAATCACGGAGTGAAAAGGAGAGAGGGTAGACAGGTGGGCAGGGATCAACAACTCTGGTTTGGGAACTGACCAGCAGGTATCTAGGCAAGGGGACAAAACTGAGTAATCTAGGCTACGTAAGGAGTCAGAGAAGACCAAAAGGGGTTCAGGGACTTGAGACTAGAAAGGTGAGGACATGGGAGAGGTGAGAGAGATGGCTGTGGTCAAAGGTGGCAGCTCTTGAATCATGGAAGCAGAGCCGTTTCCAGCGATAAAAGCTACAAATGTGCTCCCACGGGTGCTGCAGGAGACTGAAGAATGATGGAGTCAAAGGACACAGGAATTGAGGAGACTGGGTAATTAATTGCGAGGCGTTTAAGTTAAATGACACAAATGTTAATATTAAAAGAAGCCTAGCATAGTGGAAAAAAGCTTGGCTGGGCTCTGGAGACCTGGGTTCCACTTGCAGTTAAGGGTGCCCGCTTTGGGGAAGTCACTGCCCTTCTCTGGGGTGGAATCAGAAGACTTCTCAGGCCCCTTTCTGCTCTAGGTGGTAAGGACTTTCAGGATAACGGCAAGGGAAGGGCTGACGAAGACGATCCCTTTTGTTGGGCCGCCCCACTCCCCAGAGGCGCCCGGAACCTTTCTGCTGTGCTTTCTGCCCGGACGTGCCCGAGCGGAGGCCGGAAGTCCTTTGTCGGCGGGTTCCGGGTTTCCTGGGTTACTACGATGGCGATGAGTTTCGAGTGGCCGTGGCAGTATCGCTTCCCGCCCTTCTTTACGTGAGGCTCAGACCCTGAGAAGTCCCGCTGGGACTCCCTCTCCTCCCCCGGGCCCCGGGCCCAGCCCTGATACTTCAAGTGGGGAGGGGGAGAACGGATCTGGTCGCCGCCACTCGAAGTCCCTCACTTCTCCCCAAAACGCGCCCCCGGCAATAGCTGCCGCTCGCTCTCTCACGTCCTTTAATTCTTCCCCACACCCGCTTAACCCGGCAGGTTGCAGCCGAACGTGGACACTCGGCAGAAGCAGCTGGCCGCCTGGTGCTCGCTGGTCCTGTCCTTCTGCCGCCTGCACAAACAGTCCAGCATGACGGTGATGGAAGCTCAAGAGAGTCCGCTCTTCAACAACGTGAAGCTACAGCGTATCCTCCCTCAGGCTTCTCCGCACTTTCCCGTATGCCCATACTTCACCACCACTCCTTCACCCACAGAAGGCAGGCTCCCACCCAAACGACCTGGGAAAGAGCCAGTCTGAGAGGCTGACATCCATTTTACCCCCAACCCCAACCTAAATGCAGCACCAAACCCTCTTGTCCTTGGCAGTGATGAGTACCCAGGTGTCATTCAGTCCTTAGAATATCTGTCCTGAAGCCAAGTCTTAGGTTTTTCAACCTGAACTTTTTTGACTTTTTGAATCTTCTGTCCTCTGTATGAGACTCAAACTCCGGCATTACCTTTAGTAATTTTCTCCATCTACTCTCCTCGTCTCAGGAAGTAAGGGTCATTTGCTTTTGCTGCCTGATTCATCCCTAAAATATCTGGAGAACGGCTGAAGGAAGGAGGGTGAGAAACCATAGTACCTTTCATTCTCTAATGCTCTTCTTTCTTAATTGGTGTAGTTTCTCTTTACCTTTCTCCCCCTAATATGCAGGAAATGCCAGTCTATACCCAGTTGGGGAATTGCACATCTTTGTGCATGTGAGGGAGAAGAGTAGTTCTGGGCATGAGACTGGCTCTTAGAAGTTTTATCCCACCCAGTTCATTCTATTAATGCCATTCCCTTAACTTTAAACCAGGGAAGCTCCCTGTGGAATCAATCCAGGTTGTATTAGAGGAACTGAGGAAGAAAGGTGGGTTCAGTTCCCCAGCTTCCTTAATTTCCCTCCTAGTTGTGTTTTCCTGAGGGTAGATTAGCACAGGTCTTTTCTTTTAAGAACTTTTTTTCTCCCCTGGCTTGGGGTCCAGAGTGCTATATAGAGTAGCCCAGTTCCCTGGGTCCTTTTCCCCTCAATGGTATACAGAATTGAATTCTCTCCATCTGTACCCCAGCACCTGAAGAGAAGGAAAATGGGTGCCTTGTAGATAGTAATAGTAAAACAATTCTTGAATTTCTTTTTCTGAAAGCTGAATCTCTTCCATTCTGTTCCACTTTGTTTTTTGCTTCT